TCTGAGTATAGATCCTTTGTGTCTTTGGTTAGATTTATTCCTAGGTATCTTATGGTTTTGGGTGCAATTGTAAATGGGATGGATTCCTTACCTTCTCTTTCTTCTGTCTTGTTGTTGGTGTATAGGAAAGCCACTGACTTTTGTGCATTGATTTTATATCCTGCCACTTTACTGAATTCCTGTATGAGTTCTAGCAGTTTTGGGGTGGAGTCTTTTGGGTTTTCCACATAAAGTATCATATCATCTGCAAAGAGTGAAAGTTTGACTTCTTCTTTGCCAATTTGGATGCCTTTGATTTCTTTTTGTTGTCTGATTGCTGTGGCTAGGACTTCCAATACTATGTTGAATAGCAGTGGTGATAGTGGACATCCCTGCCGCGTTCCTGACCTTAGGGGGAAAGCTCTCAGTTTTTCCCCATTGAGAATAATATTTGCTGTAGGTTTTTCATAGATGGCTTTTATGATATTGAGGTATGTACGCTCTATCCCTATGCTCTGAAGAGTTTTGATCAAGAAAGGATGCTGTACTTTGTCAAAAGCTTTTTCTGCATCTATTGAGAGGATCCTATGATTCTTGTTCTTTCTTTTGTTAATGTATTGTATCACATTGATTGATTTGCGGATGTTGAACCAACCTTGTAGCCCAGGGATAAGTCCCACTTGGTCATGGTGAATAATCCTTTTAATATACTGTTGGATCCTATTGGCTAGTATTTTGGTGAGAATTTTTGCATCCATGTTCATCAGGGATATTGGTCTGTAATTCTCCTTTTTGATGGGGTCTTTGTCTGGTTTTGGGATCAAGGTAATGCTGGCCTCATAAAATGAGTTTGGAAGTTTTCCTTCCGTTTCTATTTTTTGGAACAGTTTCAGAAGAATAGGTATTAATTCTTCTTGAAATGTTTGGTAGAATTCCCCTGGGAAGCCATCTGGCCCTGGGCTTTTGTTTTTTGGGAGATTTTTGATGACTGCTTCAATTTCCTTAGTGGTTATAGGTCTGTTCAGGTTTTCTATTGCATCCTGGTTCAGTTTTGGTAGTTGATACATCTCTAGGAATGCATCCATCTCTTCCAGGTTATCTAATTTGCTGCCATAGAGTTGCTCATAATATGTTCTTATAATTGTTTGTATTTCTTTGGTGTTGGTTGTGATCTCTCCTCTTTCATTCATGATTTTGTTGATTTGGGTCATTTCTCTTCTCTTTTTTATAAGTCTGGCCAGGGGTTTATCAATCTTGTTAATTCTTTCAAAGAACCAGCTCCTAGTTTCGTTGATCTGTTCTACTGTTCTTTTGGTTTCTATTTCATTGATTTCTGCTCTGATCTTTATGATTTCTCTTCTCCTGCTGGGTTTAGGCTTTATTTGCTGTTCTTTCTCCAGCTCCTTTAGGTGTAGGGTTAGGTTGTGTACTTGAGACCTTTCTTGTTTCTTTAGAAAGGCTTGTATTGCTATATGCTTTCCTCTTAGGACTGCCTTTGCTGCATCCCAAAGATTTTGAACAGGTGTGTTTTCATTTTCCTTGGTTCCCATGTATTTTTTTAATTCTTCTTTAATTTCCTGGTTGACCCATTCATTCTTCAGTAGGATGTTCCTTAGCCTCCATGTATTTGAGTTCTTTCCGACTTTCCTCTTGTGATTGAGTTCTAGTTTCAAAGCATTGTGGTCTGAAAATAGGCAGGGAATGATCCCAATCTTTTGGTACCGGTTGAGACCTGATTTATGACCTAGGATGTGATCTATTCTGGAGAATGTTCCATGGGCACTAGAGAAGAATGTGTTTTCCGTTGCTTTGGGGTGGAATGTTCTGAATATGTCTGTGAAGTCCATTTGGTCCAGTGTGTCATTTAAAGTCTTTATTTCCTTGTTGATCTTTTGCTTACACGATCTGTCCATTTCAGTGAGGGGGGTGTTAAAGTCCCCTACTATTATTGTATTATTGTCGATGTGTTTCTTTGCTTTTGTTATTAATTGCCTTATGTAATTGGCTGCTCCCATGTTAGGGGCATAGATATTTACAATTGTTAGATCTTCTTGTTGGATAGATCCTTTAAGTAGGATATAGTGTCCTTCCTCATCTCTTATTACAGTCTTTGATTTAAAATCTAATTTGTCTGATATAAGGATTGCCACCCCAGCTTTCTTTTGGTGTCCATTAGCATGGTAAATGGTTTTCCACCCCCTCACTTTCAATCTGGGGGTGTCTTTGGTTCTAAAATGAGTCTCTTGCAGACAGCATATCGATGGGTCTTGTTTTTTAATCCAGTCTGTTAGCCTGTGTCTTTTGATTGGGGCGTTTAGCCCATTTACGTTCAGGGTAACTATTGAAAGATAGGAATTTAGTGCCATTGTATTGCCTGTAAGGTGACTGTTACCATATATTGTCTGTGTTCCTTTCTGGTCTATGTTGCTTTTAGGGTCTCTCTTTGCTTAGAGGACCCCTTTCAAGATTTCCTGTAGGGCTGGTTTTGTGTTTGCAAATTCCTTTATTTTTTGTTTGTCCTGGAAGCTTTTTATCTCTCCTTCAATTTTCAATGACAGCCTAGCTGGATAGAGTATTCTTGGCTGCCTATTTTTCTCATTTAGTGCTCTGAATATATCCTGCCAGTCCTTTCTGGCCTGCCAGGTCTCTGTGGATAGGTCTGTTGCCAATCTAATGTTTCTACCCTTGTAGGTTACATATCTCTTCTCCCGAGCTGCTTTCAGGATTTTCTCTTTGTCTATGAGACTCGTAAGTTTTACTATTAGATGTCGGGGAGTTGACCTATTTTTATTGATTTTGAGAGGGGTTCTCTGTACTTCCTGGATTTTCATGCCTGTTTCTTTCCCCAAATTAGGGAAGTTCTCTGCTATAATTTGCTCCATTATACCTTCTGCCCCTCTCTCTCTTTCTTCTTCTTCTGGGATCCCAATTATTCTAATGTTGTTTCATCTTATGGTATCGCTTATCTCTCGAATTCTGCCCTCATGATCCAGTAGTTATCTCTCTTTTTCTTAGCTTCTTTATTTTCCATCATTTCATCATCTATATTACTGATTCTCTCTTCTGCCTCATTTATTCTAGCAGTTAGCGCCCCCATTTTTGATTGCACCTCATTAATAGCCTTTTTGATTTCTACTTGGTTGGATTTTAGCTCTTTTACTTCTCCAGAAAGAGTTTCTCTAATAACTTCCATATTTTTTTCAAGCCCAGCTAGTATCTTTAAAGTGATGATTCTGAACTCTAGATCTGATATCGTACTAATGTCCGTATTGAGTAGGTCCCTGGCAGTTGGTACTGCCTCTTGTTCTTTTTGTTGAGGTGATTTTTTCCGTCTTGTCATTTTGTGCAGAGGAGAATAGATTAATGAGAGAACAAAATGCTAGCAGAGTAACCACGTCCCCAGAAAATATACTCTAAACAAATCAGAAAAGACCTGAAGCAGTGGGATAAGAAGGGGAAAGAGAGAAAAAAAGAAAAAGAAAAAAAGAAAAAGATAAAGATAAAAACATAAACAAACCAAACAAAAGAACAACAACAAAAGAAAAACCAGTATGTGATCAAATATCATCTATATGGTATATAGACCAGTGCCACACACTAGATTTGGGGTGTATTTTGGTCTTTTAGAAGAAAGTGTCTCCCAAAATTTTAAAGAAAGAAAAACTTATATATGTACAAAAATAAGGGTTGATATGATGAAGGGATGGAAAATGACTGTAAAAATGGAAATTATAAAAAATTTTATAAAAGGAATTGATAAGAAGTTGTTTGAAAAAAGAAAGAAGAGGATTTGAAAAAAGAAAAAAAAAGAAAAAAAAAGGGAGAGGATGTGATCAGGCAGGGGAATAGAAAACACCATATACTAGAGATTTAGGGTATATTTTAATCTGTTAGAAGAAACTATCTCAAAATTTTAAAGAGAGAACAACTTATATATATAAGCCAAAAATACGGGTAACTACTATGAAGGGATAGAATATGACTCTAAAAATGAAAAATAAAAATGTTTCTTTAAAAAAAGGGATTGATAAGATGTTGGTTGAAAAAGGGAAAAAGAAAAATTCAAAAAGAAAAAAAGAAAAAAAGACAGTTAAAAAAAATTAACTCTGAAAGACTAAAGAATCATGGTAAAAGAGCCATGAATTCTATGTGCAGTAGTCCCCTAGCGTTGGAGTTCTGCCGTTCTCATTGATCGGTAAACTTGGTCTTGGCTGGCTGTTCTCGCTGATCTTCTGGGGAGGGGCGTGTTGCCGTGTTTTCCAAATGTCTCTGCCGGAGGTGGAATTGCCCCGCCCTTGCCCCCTCCCGGCTAAGTAATCTGCTCGGGTTTGCTCTCCGGGGCTTTTGTTCCCTGCGAGCTTTCCGTACAGCTTTGGAGGCGGAGAGTGAAAATGGCGGCCTCCCAATCTCCGCCCTGGAGGAGCCGAGAACTCGGGGCCCCGCTCCTCAGTGAGCCCCCAGATAAAAGCCGTCAGTCACTCCCATCCCCGGTCTCTGGCCGCACTCCGTGCTCACCTGGCCTGTGACCGTGCGTCTCTATCTATGGCACCCGACCCCGGGTGGAGTCTCCAAACCCAGCAGATCCCGGCGGTGCGCTCCGCGCGGCTCCTCCCGGGGGAGGAAGGTGAGTCTCCCTGGATCTGCCGCTTGTTGGGTCCCTGCTGGAGGAGCAGGGGCCCGACTGTGCTGCGGATCACGGTCAATGGCAACCCCGAGCTGAGAGCCCGCGCCTGGGCTCCACCTCTGCAGCTGGCTTCCCTGCTCCGATCCCTGGGAGCTCTGCTGCACTCACGCACCCCCGGTCTTTCTGTGACCCCGAGGGTCCTGAGACCACACTGTCCCGGAGGGTTCCACCCCCCGCTCAGCCACCCGAGTGACGTCCCTCGGCGGAGCAGACTTTTAAAAGTTCCGATTTTGTGCTCCGCGGCTCTATCACTTGCCAGAAGCGGCCGACGGAGTCCCCTCCCCCGCCGTCTATCCTCCTGAATATTGCCGTGGATTCACTTCTCCGCACGTCCTACCTTCTAGAAAGTGGTCACTTTTCTGTTCAGAGTTGTTGCTCTTCTTTTCTTCGGTCTCCTGTTGAGTTTGTAGGTGTTCAGAACAGTTTGATCCCTATCCAGCTGAATTCCTGAGAGGAGACGAAATCCAGGTCTCCTACTCCTCCGCCATCTTGCTCCGTCACCTCGCTGATTCTTGCAATGAGCCAGAAGAGCTGCACAGAACCCCTGAGGTCCCCAGTGATGTCCACAGGGGACCCCGGAGGCTGTTAGGAGCCAGTCTATGAGAGGATTTCTGAGGCCTCGGGGCTGTATATTGGGAAGAGGTCCCTGGGGCCTTCCTGAGCTCCACTAGGAGAGAATCCCGGGAGACTGCCTGAGGCTGTGTCAGGAGGGAGTCCCTGCGGATCCACTGAAACCTTATTGGAAGATCTCCGGAGATTCCCTGAGGTCATGTAAGGACAGGATCCCGGAAGAGCTCATCAGGCTATGAACAAAGGAGCCCTGAGGATCTAGTGAGGGTATGTCAGCTGGGGATCACCAAGGATCCATTAAGATCACACCAAAGAGAAGATTCCTGGAGTTTCTATGGTGACAAAAGGGGGTCCCTGGAGAGTTCCCATGGTTGTCATTCATCCAACACACACTTGCAGAGGCAGAAGACCTAGGCCCCACTGAGCAGGATCTCACAAGCTACCTGTGGACACAGAGATCATAAAAACAGTCAGGTAAATGTTGCAGGGTGGGCGCAAGGACCTGTGGAAAGGGCATAAAATTCGGTGTCCGCGAGGTGAGCGAGCCATTCTGCTCTCCCGGGAGGGGCAGCCTTTGGGGGTGGTGGGCATACGGCTGACATACTGATGTAAAGAACCCGGCGCAGATCTTGCGTGGGGCAAGAACTCCATCAGTGCTACCCATCAGTAAGCGAGGGGCACGGGCACACTTACACATGCAGCCCAATTCTTGTCTCACGAGAGAACTGGCGGAGGTGCGTCCGCGGACTGTCCTGCAGTCGGGAAAGGCCAGGACCTGGCTTCTCGGTCCGGGTCCGCGACCAAGAGAAATCCAGCGCCAGTCACGCACGTCACCCCACATCTTCGTTGGCTACGTCGAGTTAAAAGAAGCAAACACCGAAACACCGAAACATAACTTCAGCAGCTGTCATTTCACCACGTAACCAACGCAGACTCGCTCTTTTCAAAGATTTCACTCACTCGAGCGAGCTCTCGAGCGAGCGAGGGCACCAGCCGGGAAGGGGCAGGCGGAGGGGGAAGCAGAGTCTCCCCGCCGAGCGGGGCCCGACGCGGGGCTCCAGCCCAGGGCCCTGGGGTCACGACCCGAGTCCAAGGCAGACGGCGGGCCGACGGAGCCGCCCGGCGCCCCACCAGTGTAGACGGACTCTCCCTCCGCTCCGCTTCGTGCCGACTCTTTAAAAACCCTGCCGGGGGCTTCCTGCGCCGGGTTCCGCGACCCCCAGGAGCCCCCCGCCACCCGCTCCGCCGACCCCGCTGCCCCTCGCTGCCTCCGCGCGCCCCGGACCCTCCCGCCGCCTCGCCCTGCGGCAGAGCACAGAGCCGGACGGGGGCCCCAGCCAGCCGCCCGCACCGCAGCCGCCACACCCCCTCCCCGGCGTCGCCCTTGAATGCCGTCACGCCCGCGCCTTGCGTCGGCGCGCCTGGGCGGAGGCGTGACTTCCGGGCGCGCGGAGGCGGGACTTCCGGGAGCAGGCGGAAGAGCCTCTGGGCTCTGGGGTCACGACCCGAGTCCAAGGCAGACGGCGGGCCGACGGAGCCGCCCGGCGCCCCACCAGTGTAGACGGACTCTCCCTCCGCTCCGCTTCGTGCCGACTCTTCAAAAACCCTGCCGGGGGCTTCCTGCGCCGGGTTCCGCGACCCCCAGGCGCCCCCCCCCCCCCCCCCCCCCCCCCCCGCTCCGCCGACCCCGCTGCCCCTCGCTGCCTCCGCGCGCCCCGGACCCTCCCGCCGCCTCGGCCGGCGGCAGAGCACAGAGGCGGACGGGGGCCCCAGCCAGCCGCACGCACCGCAGCCACCACACCCCTCCCCGGCGTCGCCCTTCAATGCCGTCACGCCCGCGCCTTGCGTCGGCGCGCCTGGGCGGAGGCGTGTCTTCCGGGCGCGCGGAGGCGGGACTTCCGGGAGCAGGCGGAAGAGCCTCTGGGCGCTGGGCTCGGGCGTCCGGGGGCCGCTGAGGGGCCGCTCGGGGTGCAGGAAAGGGCCGCCGGGCCTGGCCGGCCGCGCTCGAGGTGTCGGGCCGCGGGCCTGAGGGAGGAGGAGGGGCCGTGCCCGGCGACGGGGCCCGGAAGCGGTTCTGGAGGCGCAGCAACGGCGAAGTCCCGGGCAGGTGGGTGTGACGGGGAGGCCGGGTCGGGGTCAGGGCTCGGAGGTCGGGCGGGCGCGTGGGCCCGCGGGCCTGCGGGTGGAGTCGGGGGTCTGGGGAGGGGTGAGCTGGGCTGGGAGAGGGCTGCTGGGGACGAGAGGGACGTTGGGGGGCCGGGGGGCTCGAGCGCAGGGTCTGGGCGGTGACGGGGGCTGCGCGCAGACCGAGGCTTGAAGGGAGGAGGAGCAGGTGCGCGCGAGTCTTCCCGAGGCCGCAGGCTCCCCTCGGTGACACTCCTCGGCAGGCTCTCCTCGGTGACAGCCGAAGGGGACCGACTCGGGTCGCGCTGCGGAGTTCGGGGAGTGCGGACCTGGCCCGCTGGCCGCGCGGGCTGCGCTTGCCGGGCGATCGCCTCTCCGGGGGGCGCGGCGGTGGGACCCCCTTGAATGGCCTTCTTGTCCCTCCCGCGCTCGGCTGCGCTTGCCGGGCGATCGCCTCTCCGGGGGGCGCGGCGGTGGGACCCCCTTGAATGGCCTTATTGTCCCTCCCGCGCTCGGCTGCGTTTGGCCTCGAGCTCGAGGACTCGCTCCGGTGGATTTGAGCCTCCCTGTGAATTTCCACGTACCCCACCTTCCGGCCGCAAAACCAACTCCTTTCTTGAGTCCGCAGCAGGAAGCGAATTAAGGAAAAGAAATTAAACAAAAAATGAAGTGCGTGCAATGACCCGGGTGCACCCTGGAAGCTGTTCGGCTCCAAAGTCCTGATCAGCGTGCGGCTGATCCCCGGCCCGCGCCCCGGGGAAGGTGAAGACAGTGCGTGGACAGTGCCTGGCGAACTTAGATTAGAGAGAAACGGATGTCAAGATTACTTTTTCTTTTTTAAAGATTTTATTTATTTATTTGAGAGAGAAAGAGAGAGAGCATGAGGGGGGGAGGGTCAGAGGGAGAAGCAGGCTCCCCGCCGAGCAGGGAGCCCGATGCGGGACCCGATCCCGGGACTCCAGGATCGTGACCCGAGCCGAAGGCAGTCGCCCAACCGACTGAGCCACCCAGGCGCCGCCACACTGAGGATTTCTTTTCTTTTTTTAAATATTTTATTTATTTATTTGAGAGAGAGAGAATGAGAGAGAGGGGGGAGGGTCAGAGGGAGAAGCAGGCTCCCCGCCGAGCAGGGAGCCCGATTCGGGACTCGATCCTGGGACTCCAGGATCATGACGTGAGCCGAAGGCAGTCGCCCAACCAATTGAGCCACCCAGGCACCCCCGATGTCAAGATTTCTTTTTCTTTTTTTAAAGATTTTATTTATTTATTTGAGAGAGAAAGAGAGAGAGCGTGAGAGGGGGAGGGTCAGAGGCAGAAGCAGACTCCCCGCCGAGCAGGGAGCCCAATGCGGGACTCGATCCCGGGACTCCAGGATCATGACCTGAGCCGAAGGCAGTCGCTTAACCGACTGAGCCACCCAGGCGCCCTGCCATCATCTTTTAAATTATGGAGTCTTACCAAAAAAACTGTGTCACTGGTGTATCTCTAGTAGGTGATTTGGCCAGGGTCTCACACTGCATGAGAGGTGGTCTTGCCAGTAGCCCCCCCTCCTCTATTCACGCTGGTCCTTAGGTTGTCTATTTGGCTGGGGCTTTCTTAGAAACTTCTGGGTGAAGCAGGATGTGTGATGTGGTGGAAGCACCTCTGACTTGGTTCTGTGGTCTGGGTTTCAGCTTTTTTTTTTCTATTAATCTCTGTGTGACTTTCACCAGGTCATGTCACCCCTGGGGCCATCAGTTTCTGCCAGTGTAACCTGCTGAAGCTGGATGAGACCTAAGTGGCTGAGATCTCCAGGCACATATTTGTTCGGTCTGGTCCGATTCTCTTTGATGAGCACGAGAGAGGGCCTCTTGGAGGAGCTTTGAGAGTTTGAAAATTCATTCATTCAGTAGATATTTGTTTAACCAACTCTTGGTGCCAATAACAGTTCCAGGGGCTAGAGATACACCAGTGAACAAAACAGATCAGAACCAGTGCTGTCTCAGAGCTTACAGCGGAGCTGGAGGGGCAGAGAATAGAGACCATGACTAAGTTAAGAAGAGAGTTACCCCTGAGAAGGTGGGAACTGTTATCCTGTTATTGAAACCTCAAGCAGAGAATTGGGATTGGGAGGCGTGTGGAGTGGGGAGGGTTTCCCGGTGATAAGGTGGCCAGAGAAGGTCTCACAGAGGAGGTAACATTTGAGCAGGACTCACAGGAGGGGAGCGAACAGGCCCCCTGGGTGGCTGGGAGGACAGTGGTCTGGGCAGAGGGCCAGTGGAAAGTCCCCGGTTGGGAGCGACAGCGGTGTGCTCGAGAAGAGCGGGGGGCCTGGTGCCTGGAGCCAAGGGAGGAGGGGGAGAGTCCTGGGGCACGAGGTCCGGAAGCTGGTGGGGGCAGGCCTCGTGGTCACAGTGGAAAGACGTGGGCTTTCTGTCTCTTATTCTGACGGGGGAGCGCTTTGGATGGTCTTGGCAGAGGTGAGGCAGGATCCCTTTGGCCTCTGGGTGGATGGCAGGTTAGGGGCTGGGAGGGAAGGACGGACGCAGGGAGACCAGTTCGGAGGCTGTGGTGAACGTCCGGGTGAGAGAGGACGGTGGTGTTGCAAGAATCAGAGGGCGGGTGGTGGGGATCAGGACGTGTTCAGTCTGTGACTCTCTGGGGCTGGTTCTCTCTTGGGCCAGCGACCCACTTGGCTCCGAGGGGCGGCTGCCCTCTGCAGTTGTCGGTGGCACTCTTGCCACACTTAGCTGTCAGTGGCAGGACGAAGTCACCGCCCACCGCGGTGCGAGTGCAGGCGGCCCTCCGGCGTGGGTCCGCCGGGGCCGCGAGCGCTGCGCGCAGGAGGCCGTGCGGGCGGTGGGGCCTGTGGAGGGCAACCTTTGTGAGCGGGATGGAGGCAGGAAGGGCCCAGACTGAATCGGCAAGGCTGTGGGTGCTTGGGGTGGAGCTGGAGGAGAAGACAGCTCACGGTGTTGTGGCTCCGACAGCTTTCAGCTTCCAGCGGCCACAGCCCGAGGAGTCTCCGAGCCGGTGAGACATCAGCTCCACCGTCACTGTAACAGGCCGCCATCACTCATCAGCTGAGGGGAGGACTTGTTGGGGGGACAGTTCATTCGTTCAGAACGCATTCTGTGTGCCAGGTCCCGTGCTGAATGCTGAGCCAAGAGATGTGGCTCTCAGAGGCTGCTGGGGTGAGGGAGACGGTAAGCACATTGGTAAGTTCTTCGAAGGTCATCATCTGGGGGCGTTGGCAGAAGCACAGGACCCTGCGTCAATGGAAGGCCATGCCTTTCCAGAAGAGGTCATGCCTGACCTGAGACCTGTAGGTGGAGAGGGAGCCAGCCCACAGAGATGCACAGATGCGGAGATGCGGGGTGGGCGTCAGAGCACTCCTGGCAGGGGAAGGGTGCTGTGGGGACCCTGGGGCTGGGGAGGAGGACGGCAGGAGGGGAGCCTTGTGAGAAGAGGGGTGGGAGGCGGGCAGGGCTCGGAAGGCCATAGAAAAGGGCCGCCATGAAGCACTGAAGGGTGGCGATCACCAGGGTTCTGGCCGGAGGGATGGGGCGTGGTTGCAGACTGATGAACCCCAAAGATGTCTGCATCCTTATCCCTGGAACCTGGAACCAGACCACATGGCCAAAGAGTGGAAGGTGCAGATCTGCTGACGCTGAGGTGGTACCTTTTCCTGGGTGGCCTGGTGGGTCCAGTAGAATGGAGTGAGCGCTTAAAAGTGGTCAGAATCAACAGCAGATGGACGCTTGTCTTGTCGCTGGCTCTGAAAGTGGAGGCGGGGGCCATGAGCCGGGGGGTGCGGTGGCCTCCAGCATTTGGAGTGACCTTCTGCTTGCAGCCGGCGGGAACCTCGGTCCTACAACCGCAGGGAACTGGATTCTGCCAACAGCCTGCATGAGCAGGACGTGGACTCTCCCCAGAGCGTCCAGAAATGAGTGCAGTGGCCAACACCTACACTTTAGTCCCGTGAGAACTGCCTTGGACTCTGACCTCCAGACTTTAAGATAATAAGTGTGTTTCAGGCTGTGTGTGGAGGACCGTTAGAGCAGCCACAGAAAAACCCTGAAGTGGGAGGAGGAAGGTTGGAGGAATGTGCGGGAGGGATGTTGGATGGGAAGGGTTGTGGGTAGCCCTCCGCACCTGACCCTGCAGAGTCTTGCCCTTGAATGTGGACAGGGCACCTGCTTCCATCTTCCCGGGTGGGCTGGCCCCTCACCGCCCACCTCTGCGAAGTGCATTTAGTCCCAAAGGACTGGAACAGCACTGGGAGGGCTCTTCCTCATGTCTCCTTGGGTCCAGGAACCAGGTGGAGGCCCTGCCTCTTTTTCCGGAAGCTCGGATCTGCTGCCCTGACCAGCTTGCTCTTGCGTTTTCAGAAACCTGTTTGTTTCCTTGCTTGTATTTTTGAAGTGGCTGTTTGGACGGAGTGCCTTTTTATTCCTCTCTTCCCGTGTTGCGAGGAGCCCGGGAGTCTCTCGGGTGGGTCTTTGTGTCCTGGGCGAGCGGGTCTCTCTGGGCTCCGTCT